TTTGGCACCCACTCGTTTAGGATTGGGGCTGCCACGGAGGCGGCGAGGTTGGGTCTAGGTGACGATTTAGTTAAAAAGATTGGGAGATGGGAATCGCTCAGGTTCCGCTCTTATGTCCGGCCGGATCGGTTAGTGTAATTCAAGTTTGATGTTATGGGGTACACGATACGACGGCCCGGTGGTTATAAGTTATTTCTTTCATTTTCAGGTGGAGTTGCATGGATAGTAGGCCATTCCTATGTCTACTGGGCGGAACGGAGAGCTGCAGTTCGAAGACAAGGCACGCAGCTGGGCTTTCCGACGGATGTTTTACGATTGTTATGGTTTGGTTTCCGGGGTTTTGGTTGGAGAGACATATGTTTAGAATTATTTCGGAAGATTGGTCAGGGGGAGGTTCCCGAATTCATATTGTTACACGCTGGGGGGAATGATTTTGGTCTGGTACCACAAAGGGAATTAGTACGTTGTATAAAGAGGGACGTGGATAAGTTGAGGTCCTTACTTCCCGGGGTGGTTATTGTATGGTCGGAAACTATACCGCGTTTCCATTGGCGTCGTGCGCGGGATTTTTCAGCTATGGCGAGATGTAGACGCAAGTTTAATAAGTTGGTGGCGATTTTTATCAAAAGGTCTGGTGGGGTAGTAATCAGACATAGGGAGCTGGAGGATATGTTGCCCGGATATTTCAGGCATGATGGCGTGCATCTTTCCGGAGTAGGTCTAGATTTTCTCAACTTGGGCTTCCAGGACGGCTTGAGACAGGCTTTGTTTATTCGGGGTGGGGGCGCCCAGGTGGCTTGAGGTGGTCAAGCTCTGTGCTGTGGCGGGGGATGGATTAGGTTAATTGGGGGGTAGGTCGGTTTTTGGTAAGTGGGATAGGTCAGGAGGAATACTTACCTTTGGATTTGGTGGTAGGTTCGAGCTCGTCGGTAGCTCCGAACCTGGGGGTGTAGGGGTGTCTCGGTATGCCCCTACACTGGAAATGGATGCCCTTGGTGGCTGGGATAATGGTGTAGGGGTGTCTTGGTATGCCCCTACAATTGGAAATGGATGCCCTGGGTGGCTATGTTAATGTTTATGTTATTTATACTATGTTATATGGTTATATGGATGTATTCTGTAAAATGGTTTAGGTCATTGTCTTGGTGTAAAGTTATGTTAATTGGGGGGATGTCTTCCTAATCGTTGTTGACAATGACCTTTTAAATTTATATTTTATTACTTATATATTTAATAAAGCCGTGGAATATTTTGCCAAAATTCATGTGTCTGTAATTCTTGAAGGTCTCTAATTGGTTATAACAGGAATAGGCCAAAAAGACGATGATGCGCATGTCATGAAGCCCATGGAACAGCAAGCTAGGTGGAATGGGCCTTGACAGAGCTAGGAGGCAGGCCTATGAATGAGGTGTGGTTTGATTGGTGGAGGTCAGTTAGGGGAGTGGCCTAAGTTTCCCATATAAAAATCGGCCATTTTAATTCAGTGTCCATTTTAATTTTAAATCCCTTACCTGTTGGTAGCTGTCCCGCCCACCCTCCCTAATTTTGGTTTGTTGATGGCCAAGTGGTATGGCTCCTCCGTTTTGTCATGGCGGCGGGGGATGTATTAGGTTAATTGGAGGGTAGGTTGGTTTTTGGTAAGTGGGATAGGTCAGGAGGAATACTTACCTTTGGATTTGGTGGTAGGTTCGAGCTCGTCGGTAGCTCCGAACCTGGGGGTGTAGGGGTGTCTCGGTATGCCCCTACACTGGAAATGGATGCCGTTGGTGGCTGGGATAATGGTGTAGGGGTGTCTTGGTATGACCCTACAGTGGAAAGGGATGCCCTTGGTGGCTGTGATAATGGCGTAGGGGTGTCTTGGTATGCCCCTACATTTGGAAATGGATGCCCTGGGTGGCTATGTTAATGTTTATGTTATTTATACTATGTTATATGGTTATATGGATGTATTCTGTAAAATGGTTTAGGTCATTGTCTTGGTGTAAAGTTATGTTAATTGGGGGGATGTCTTCCTAATCGTTGTTGACAATGACCTTTTAAATTTATATTTTACTATTTATATATTTAATAAAGCCGTGGAATATTTTGCCAAAATTCATGTGTCTGTAATTCTTGAAGGTCTCTACTAGTGTAAATGGTTCACTGCCTACACCATGCCAGGGTAGATCGATCTCTGCTCACGCCATTGCAGTGAGGAAGGCTTACACCACACTAACGTAAATTGTTTCTTGTTTGTACCATACTAAAATGCTACTGCATACACCATGCTAGAGTACAGCAAAAGAGACCAAGACCTTTCACCCTGGACACCCAAGTCCGCTCAAAGGTTTAGATACTCACCCCCACCTATTACGTGGTTACCGAAAATAGAAGCCTAACCAGGCATTGGCCCTGACCACCCCCCTCCATGTACAATACAGATTAGCAATCAGTATGACCCATAGCCGAGTACCAATGGAGGGAAACCCTTCCAAAACCTGGTGCACTTCAGCATCTGAGAGATAGGAATTTTAACAACAGTATTACTCTTGTGCCCAGGGGACCAGAACCATGCCGTGCGGTACTAATGCCTTACTATGCCTTCACAGGCAACCAATTAACACTCTAGGTCACGACTTACCAGTTACCTGAATCATCTACACTTGTTGAACCCTTCATATGTTACCAATCCTGATTTCTTAAAAACAAAAGTGCAATGTTTCTCAAACCACACTAATGTTAAAGTATGCATACATGTCTGTTCGTGCCAGCTGTTGTGGCAGTACGAGTGGGGTTGTTCACAATGTGCACAAATAAATGGTGCGGCAGGCAGCTTAGGGCCTTTTCCGGGGGTCGTGTTGCTGCGGATTCAAGGATGCCAGTGTCGGTGCACTCCTGGCGCAATTATGCCAAGTGCTCCCACAGGTGTGTTTCTCGGACTTTGAGGTGCGACTGTTTCGCCTCGACTTTTCGTTCGCATTCTTTGCTGCCATGAGGATTGGGAAGTTGGTGTGTCTGAGCAGGTCGAACATTGGGGGGATCCTTTTCACTGATGTTGAGGAAGGGCAGGACTGGGTTTCCTTTAAGATTCGCCGCTCCAAGACTGATGTGTTTGGAGCGGCTGGCGGCAGTCCCTGGGTTGACCACCTGCAAAGTCCTGCCTTTTCAGTGTTTTTGCGAGGTTTGCCCTGCACTGTCTGGCCCGCTGCCGGTGCATGAGGATCGCAGGAGAACATTCAGAGTTTATATTTGTTGCATTGTCTGCCATTTTCAATTTGTCAGGGTTTTTCGTTTAGGGTTGGCTGCGTTGGGCTTGGAGGGTGCAGAGTTTGGTGGGCACTCTTTCTGTATTGGTGCTGCAATGGAGACTTCGCGGCTGGGTATGCCAGATCAAGAGATGCAGAGAATAGGGAGGTGGGAATCCAGGAGGTTTATTTCTTATGTGCGTCCTGCCGGTCTAGTGAGCTAAATGGTTTTTTGTTTTTCCTCCTCAGGTTCAGTCCCCTGGCCTGGTTAATCGGGCACGCCTACATACACTGGGTACGGCAGCGGGCAGCAGTCCGGCGAGCAGCAGTCCGGGGGGAGCTTCTCAGCTTCACACCGTTGACTGCGGTGGTACAGTCAGGGATGTTTTAGCTGCGAGGCAAACAGGGCATTTACCTTGTGCGTCATTTTCCAGGGGGCGGCAAAAAAAGCCGCCCCCAAATGCCCAGGGCAAATGTCTTGTTAGCCTTGCGGCTAACTGACATGCCGGTCGGGCTGATGAGCGGTCGGGGTGGCGATGGCGGGTGGCTCGCGTGAGGGAGCTGAGCAGAGTGCTCGGGGAAAGTGCTCCCTCGCCAGCCGCCCACCCAGCAGCCACTGGACCCCGAGTGAGAAAGAGAACCCCCCCAGCATTCCCAAAGGTAGAGAGGCTGGGGGGGGTTAAATAAAAAAAAATGTGAATGAGTGTGTGTGCATGTCTGTTAGTGTGTGTGTGTCTGAGTGTGTGTGTGTGTCTGTTAGTGTGAGTGTGTTTGCCTGTGAGTGTGTCTGTTAGCTAGTACCGTATCTGTAAGTGAATGTGTGTGTATGTATTTAGAACGCGGGGCGGGGGGAAGGGTTGGGTTAGAGTGGTGCGGGGAGGGGTAGGGGGGCACCTGAGTTTTGTCCTGCCTAGGGCAGCACAAAACCAGGATACACCACTGGGTACAGTGGTTTGGCGCCAGAGGCATTAGGCTTCTCCCTAAATTGGTCAGGCTCTCTCCTGCTAGGAACGCCGTATGTGTTGGTCATCCATTTGTGGGGCAACGACCTTGGGACTGTGCTGGTCGGGGGCTTGGTGGACATGGTCAAAAGGGACTTGTCCCAGATATTGATCCTGTTCCCTGACTTCTCCATAATTTGGTCAGAGGTGGTGGCTAGGAACTACTAACGGCAGGCCGACAGCTAGAGTGCGCTGGAGCGCTGCCACAAGAAGTTTAATAGGAGGGTTTCGAAGTTTGTTGTGGGGGTTAGGGGTATATCCATTTGTCATCAGGTCTTATGGAAGGAGGCAGCAAATTTGTTTTGATGGGATGGGGTGCATCTGACCTAGGCGGGCTCGACCTCTTTAATCTGGCGATCCAGGAGGTGGTGGAACAGGGTGGGTCCCACCGCTGATTTTAGGCTTTAAGCGGGGTTTGTGGCAGAGGCATGTAAGGTGAGAGATGGTTTGCAGGTTAGATGAATAAGGGGGTAATGGCCAGGTCTCATCCTCCCCCTGTCGCTTATGGTGAACCTTAAGCTAAAAGCCGGCTGATGGGGAGCATTATGGTCAGACCCCATCAAGCTAAAAACCAGCTGATGGGGAGCCTGTAACGGATCGCCTGGCACCCCGACTGGGTACCTCCGTTGAAGGATGCTCCTAGCGCTTGCTGAGGACTCCAAGCACTCTGGCAGACACCACAATCACTGAACCGGAGAAACAAATAAATTCTCCCAAGCATATGAATGCTGTAGACAGTTGAATAGGAACCATATGAATAGGTTTACTCTCCTAGCAGTCAAATTGGAACAGCATACAATAAATCTTTCCCCCAATAATGAGACGACACTTCACTTTGAGGGTTAAACAGGAACTCACTGTACTGGCACATACAGCCTCTTTTATTCCCAATCCACAAACTTAGTACTGCCCACAGGGTTTTACAGAACAACCAATCAATCTGTACAATACACACAGACACTCCCACACAAAATCCTCCCCTCTGCCTGTGATATGATTACTGAACACAATGGGTAATCTAATTATCACAGAGAGAGAAATACAGTTTCATAAAACACATCACAGGGACCCAAAACATGCAATAACCCCAAAAAGTATATCCTTGGAACTGGGGGATCTGGGTGAACCACATATCCAAAATTCACCCAGATCCTGTTCAGTACTTTGGAAAATACAGTTTAATGCAGATTCTGCAGAACATATACAGGCTAAATGAAAAACAATCACTGTATAATGTGTCCCCTGCTGTATAGTCCAAAACCACTGCACGATGTCTCTGTGCACCAAATACTGGCGAGATAGCACCGTGTTGAAAAGTCCAAACAGTGTCTGTGAGTTAAAATGGCCGCCATCCATTGTTCTCACCATGTGCTTCATCCATTGTTCTCACCATGTGCCTCTGATACAGGAAATGGTAGCCACCCAGTAACTCCACAGTATGTCCCCAGATGGTTCTTAAAGGGCCAGCAGCAGCACAACACAAATCCATTATGCCCAAATCATGTCTTTAAAGGGCAATACATCCCAGGGGCCATAGTCACAGGGCAAGAGGCTGGCAACCAGGCTTCTCCAGTGCATAGTGGCGAGGTCGGTTTCGCCACAGAGCCCAAAAGGGAAGAGGAGTTTTTATTATGCTGAGGGAGGAGGTGAGAGCGTTAGGGAAGAGGGATTTAGATTGGCAAGGACATTTCGGTTACATTTCTGTATGACATTATACAAGTTATTTATGTTAATGTATGATATTTTATTATGTACAGTTTTATATGTTGAAGGAGTTATACACTATTTGGATGTTATAATAAATGCTGTGGCCTGTTATATCCAAGTTTTGTGTCTGTCATTATTTGGAGAAGTAATGATTGGTTGAAGGGGATATCTCATCCAATGCCCACTACGTACATACATGAAGATTTATCAGGTTCTGTGCTACAATTCACATTTCCCGTATGTAAAAAACACGTCCCTCTTTGTGGTGCTCTTGGGATGTAGGCCAATGTTATTTTGTGTTTAAAACCGTTCCTAACTCAATAAAACAAGTACCAGACAGGGTTGTTTTAATAGAATTATTTTACTTTCTCCACAGATCCATCACCTCATATACATTCTACATTGGTCAGCTCTTCATCCTGTGTTTCCACCATGAACTCTTTAGATGGTCTCACAGCTTATATGGGGAGTTCTCACACCTCCCCAAGGCCCACTGCAACAAATATAAACTCTGAATGTTCTCCTGCGATTAATATTGGTGCTCCTTACCGAGTGATCACATCATCAGTGGGACCTCATTCTATATCTTCTCCATCCATCCTAGACTTCTCTGGACATGAGAGACCACAGGTAAGTGTGTAGCTGGAACTTTAATGCATTAGTGTGTTGTATGGTATTCCTAAAAAGTCATTCAATCTTATTTATTTACATTAAAAACCAAGGAAAAAAAAGTTACCTGTGCTCTCTCCTTAATCTCCATGTACATTTAGACAAATGGAGGTCATTTAGTTACTCCAACGTCAAAACAGACCCCCCCTAGACGGGTCCTACTCTGACCCTTTACCTTGCTTCCTTGAGCGTCTGGCAAAGATATCTCTAATCAGACAGAGAGGGGTATTTTTTGTTATATACGCCCCTATATACTTATTAACCCTTAATAGGGAACACATGGGATGGGCGGCAGCATTGTAACATAGCTGTGTGATACAAAAACTCAATACAAATACAAAAAAGATAAGCCCTGCGCTCACTCCCACCATTCCTGGATGGCAGCAACGACCACAGTACACATCAGCCCAATATATAGTATGCTTAACCAATCTACACAATCAAATGTACTCTCCTCATCAAAGGATATGTTTATATCCTATATGTATATATAGGTTGCCAACAAGTGGAAAAGGTTAGTGGCCTGGCCAGTATTAACAGGGCTGGCCTTAGACCTTCAGACGCCACGTCTGAAAAGTGGAGGCATGCGGCCGCCGGCTAACAGTGCGTTCTGTATGCAGCGATCTCCCTGCTCTGCTCCTTGTGCTCCGCTTCGTGATGCCAGAGCCAGAGTGACGTCATATTCGGACTCTGGCATCACTAAGCATAGCATGAGGGGCAGAGGGAGAGATTAGAATGCGCAGCCGGCCGCATGCCCTGGAGGAAAAGGGCTCACCTTTTTACATATGAAAAGCTAAGTAGTCTGAAGCAGGAGGGCAAAGATCCTTAGTAACGATGTCACCACACCTGTAATTCTTCCCTGTCCCTAGTAAATCCAATGACTCCTCCCGTAATAGAGTGCATTGGGTATTCTGGCAGGTGAGATTCCCGGCACCTTTAGTCAGAGCTAATGATCTATTATTAACAATTAATTACAAATAATTACATCTCATGCTGCTCTGAGCTTATTCTTGTGCCATCTAGTGTCACATCCTGGTTAGTAGCCTTTATCACTGCACCTCAAGCTAAAAGATCTTTTTCCAATCTGAGACTTTCATCATTGTGTTCCCTTCCTAAATCTGTGAAACAAAAACAAGAGAGGAGTACTCAGTATACAAGCAAAAAACTTTGCACCAAGTGCAAAAAAACCCTTGTGGCTATAAGAAGGGGGAAATAAAATGAATATAAATTACCCTGTTTGAATAGGAAGTGCGAAGACTCCTCAGTGTCTTCTTAAACATAAATAAAGAACAATAAAAAATGCACAACCTAAAAATATAAAACAAAGGGAGAACGCAATAGTGTAGATAAAAACTAATAATAAAATATAAAAAAGACCAAAATTCACTCACAAACATAAGGATAAATAGGCGGGGTGTGCAAAATCTTTTCAAGTGCTTCTTTTCTCCTCCTATTCCAGAATGGAGGCTTAGGACAAAGCACATAAACAAAACATAGTGTATAGCTGTATGAATAAAAGAATAACTTTATTTGTTTGTACTTACAAAGTAAAAGAAGTAAAAAAGGCTCATCAAATCACTCGACGTCTGTAACGGACCGTTTTGCACAAAAGGGGTAAAAACCGCTTAGACGATAATCCCCTTTTAGAGACAGGCACAGCTACTGTAGAATCACCAAAACTCACGAATTGAATATAAGTGAATGCACCAAACTCCCGAACTGCATACAAGGGAAACAAAGGCTCTGTGTTGAGGGTCAAGCAGTGGTCTGAGGTGCTGGCACACCCAGCCTGGTTTTTATTACAGTCTTGCAAATACAGGACCGCCCACAGGGAGGTATAAAATATCCAGTAACATATTAGTTACAACCCACTGATTCCCTCCCCTTATCCTGAGAGGTAACCCAATTACACATACTTTTTACCACAATGCATCCTGGCTTCCTCTCCTCTGCCCAGGAGATAATTGAGAAGTAATTAAATTATCTCCCAGGACAGAGACAAGACTCCATTATGCACATGGTTAGCACAAAGCATTCAAATACTGTACAATACACAAAGTCCCATTTTATACATAAAACACAGACATGTCAGAGACAAGACTCCATTATGCACATGGGGACACAAAACAAGCATTACTGTTAAAATACACCAGGTAAGACACCTTACATTAGTACTATACATTTAACATATCCCCAGATAGCTCAGGTTTGAGCGCACATTATTAAGTGAATGGCGCTCAGACCACACGAATACAGTTTAATCGCCATGGAGCCAAAGTCTTTACAGTCAGTTTCATACGAATGGGCTCCATGGGATTCCTATCTGGGGTAGAACACATTCAAACAAATCTACCGAACCCCAGGCAGAAAAGCACGAATGAAGCTTTTCTGCAGGTAAAAAAAGATGTCTTTTAACAGGGGGCCATAGTCCAAAGGCAGCAGGCGAGCAACCAGGCTTCTCCAATGCAATGTGGCGAGATTGGTCTCGTCACAACGTCTTCCCAGTCAGGAAAAAGAATAACCATCAGGGTTTGGAGACTAAGTAAATAATAGAGTCCACAATACAATAGCAATCAACTGTAGAAATCCTGCCACCCTACGCGTTTCGTCTTAATGACTTCGTCTTAATACATTGTATGATGTATTGTTGCCACACGCCCCTGACAAAGTCATTAAGGCCTGACGGTGAGTATGCCCATAATGCCCACTCATAAGTCCACTTATATGTTCCACCCACCCATGAGTTCGCTCACAGGGAGTGGAGTGTGTAGGGGATGTGTTATGTGTTATTGTAGAGGATCTAATATGTGTGCTTATGGTATGTAGTGTATAGGGATACCAGTTTGTGCAGGTGATGCAGTGTGTTTGTGTGTAGTGGAAGCAGTGTGTATTTGTGTATAAGGGATGTATTGTGTGTTTCTGGTTATGTGTAAGGGATGCATTGTGTGAATCTGTGTTTGTATGCATAAGTGATTTAAAGGTGTGTGTCTGTATGTGTGCATTGTGTGTGTGCATTGTGTGTGCATTGAGTGTAAGAGATGCATTGTGTTTCTGTGTGTATGTAAGAGAAACAGTGTGCATGTGTGTGTAAGGGTTTGCATTGTGTGTTTCTGTGTATGTGTGCAAAGGATGCATTGTCTTTGTGTGTAAGGGTTGCATTGTGTGTGTGTGTGTGTGTGTAATGGATGCATTGTGTGTTTCTCTGTGTGTAAGGGAATCATGTTGTGTTTCTGTGTATGTATAGGGATGCATTTTGTGTGTGTGTGTAGTGTGAAAGAGCTCCCTGTCTTATAGAGCTCTCCCTTGCCCCTTAGTGGTCTCTTTTCACCCTTACTTCCCCCCCCCCCCCCCCCCCCCCCCTGCTCTTCTTATTCCCCCTTCTTCTTCTTACTCCCCTTCTTCTTCTTCCTTCTTCTTCCTCCTCCTTCTTCTTCTTCTTCTTCTTCTTCCTTCTTCTTCTTCTTCTTCTTCTTCCTCCTTCTTCTTCTTCCTCCTTCTTCTTCTTCCTCCTTCTTCTTCCTCCTTCTTCTTCTTCCTCCTTCTTCTTCTTCCTCCTTCTTCTTCTTCCTCCTTCTTCTTCTTCCTCCTTCTTCTTCTTCTTCCTCCTTCTTCTTCTTCTTCCTCCTTCTTCTTCTTCTTCCTCCTTCTTCTTCTTCCTTCTTCTTCTTCCTCCTCCTTCTTCTTCTTCCTCCTCCTTCTTCTTCTTCCTCCTCCTTCTTCTTCTTCCTCCTCTTCTTACCCCCCTTCTTCTTCTTCCCCCCTTCTTCTTCTTCTTCCTCCCCTTCTTCTTCTTCTTACTCCCCCCTTCTTCTTCTTCTTCTTTACTCCTGCTTCTTCTTCTTCTTCTTCTTCTTCCTACTTCCCCTTCTTCTACTTCCTCTTCTTACTTCTTCTTCTTCCTCCCCTTCTTCTTCTTCTTCCTCCCCCTTCTTCTTCTTCTTACTCCCCCCTTCTTCTTCTTCTTCTTACTCCCCAGTAAGTCCGGCCAGTACAGGAAACAGAAACTCTGCGCGGTACAGGAGCTCGGCCACGCTACAGGGAAGGGGAGGGGAGGAGAGAAGCAGCGCTGCAGCCGCCTGAGGATCTTTACAGGATCGGCCCTGCAGCAGCCGGTTTTAAAATTATTTAGAGTGGCCTGGGGGGCAATTGCCTCCCTGCTCCCCGGCCCAGCCCACCTCTGTTTGCGCGCTACCCAGCATGACTGTGTAAGTCATGACGTCCCCCAAACAGGGCCAGATACACTTTAAGGGGTTAATCTAACCCAAAACAGTCTTTTAATAAAACATTGTTTTTGAGTGGAGTACCCCTTACTAGCTGGCCTTAGTCCCCCCCCCCCATTAAAACATTAAAATAAAGAAATAAAGCAAATTTAATTACACCCTTCCTCTGTGTTTGTTGGTGACATCACAATCAGCCTCACCCACATGTTCAACCATACAAGTAAACACATGTGGGATAGCGGCTGCAATGAGAGCAGTGAAGGATAGTGGCTGCAGTGGGAGCAGTGGAGGTTAGGGATGCGGACTGTAGTGGGTGCAGGAAAGCATAGGGTGAGCTGAGTACAGGGAGAGAGAGAGGCTGAGGAGTGTGCAAGAAGGCACAGAGGCTGTGGTGGGTACAAAGAGGGATAGGAATGACAGCAATAGGGCTGTAGTGGGTGAAGGGGTATAGAGGCTCAGATGGATAAAGAGGGCAGAGGGGCTGTGGTGGGTGAAGGAGTTTAGGGGCTGTGGTGGGTGAAAGGGGGCTCAGATGGCTAAAGAGGTATAATCACTGAGATGGGTGAAGGAGGGGAATAGAGGTTCAGATGGTGATTAATAAAGGGGGACACACAGGGTCTGTAATGGGTGAAGGGGGCACAGAGTCTGGAATGGGTGAAAGGGGCACAGGGGCTAGCATGGGTAAAGGGGGCATAGGGACTGGGATGGGTAAAGGGGGCACAGGGGCTGGGATGGATGAAGGGGGCACTGGGGCTTGCATGGCTGAAGGGGGCACAGGGGCTGGGATGGATGAAGGAGGGCACTTGAGCTGGGATGGGTAAGGGGGGATATTAGCTTAAAAAATATTTACTTACCTGCTGTCTGCCAGGATTCGGCAGATTCTGCAGGAGAGTGCAGGGCAGGAAGTGACATAACCTCCCCTCTTTCGGCCTCGCCTCTGCCACTCACACGGAGCTCCGCAGACATAACATGGAGCAGAACAGCTGGGAGCAGCAGGATTCCTGCTAGGTCTCCGAAGGTGGGGGTTGGAGGGGAGGCAGAGGGGAGAAACATAGACAATATGGAATATGTGCAATTATGTTTGTTTCTGGATGAGGAGATCTGTGATCTGATCTCCCCAGCCAGATAATGTGTGTGCAGCCTGCCAGGCCCCTGGCTGCCTCGGGCCCCCGGTCCATGACCGATCTGCTCGAGTGGTCAGTCTGCCCCTGTGCACTGGGTAGACATGAAAGGAAACCTTGTACCTGAGTTGAAGGAACCACACACAGGATACACAAGACTCACAAAGTGGAGACTGCGGAATGAAACGCTCCCGGTCACCCACACCCCTCTTGTTGGTTTACCCCCCCCCCCACTATATTCACAATTCATACTCTAATCTCCAAGACACACTGATATCGACACAAAACACATAAAACGTACAAAAAGGACAAAATAGACAAGACAGATGGGCCATGCCTTGCCCCCATCACCCCACCCCCCAGTTTACTTCCCCACTTACTAAACCCAACCTCTCTAGCCTGCCACGCAGTGTCTGCAGGAGCAACAGTTTTTCTCACCAACACGGCACAACCCACGCCACCACACAGTGACCAGAACGATCGAAGCTGCGGTGGCATATCTAGCACCAAGTCAAGCAGATACACTCCCAAGTCTCCCAGTTACCTTCCAACAAGGTA